TAGGTCCACTCTTAGGAAAGCAGATAGGTAGTTTCGGGGTGAGCCAGATGCTGGCCATTGGTAAGTGCAAACCCAAATCAGAGGTTTACCAAGGAAACTGGTTATTTACAGTTCCTGGGGGTTAGGCCTGAGGAGACCTGGGTTCCAATGGGTTTCTTCTAGGAGAGAGTGGGGTTAGAAAGAGCAGCAGGAGACACACCCAGTAGCCGAGGTCAACCACTTGAGATAGTCTGGGATCACTGACAGGCAGTCCCTGGGTTCTGCACATACCCAGTCAAGCCTCTGAGATCCTTGACCTCAGAACACCAATATGCTGCCATTTTCCATTTGTCTCCTCCACCCCAGCTAAGAGAAAAGAAAATGCCTGGCAGGGGGCAGGGGCAGGGGCAGGATCAGGCTCGGGCATAGTGACCACTCCCAGGTGCTTAAGAAGAAGCTGGTGGTTCACACCAGAAACGACACACTCACCAGAGGATTATGGCCACGGACATTTCTCCACTTGGGGACAGGCTCTGGTAACACCTGAAAGGAAAGAAAACATCAGAGAGCTGCTGTTCCTCAGTTCTGAGCTCTGTGAAAGTGTGTAAGTGTTGGTGGGGGAGGGAAGAGAGAGGATAAAGGTTTGGGTGCCTGAGGTGAGCCAAAATAGTTGTGCAACCCCCTGCGTGAGGCCACAACTCCATCCAAACATGGCTTCCTCATGTGACTCCAGAAATGACCTGAGAACAACTTTATCCATCCCTTTATATAAGTATACGCACATGCCACCTCTCCAGCTGCCTTAGGAACTCCCTGAGAATAAGGCAAATTCTCTTAATACTTCCTCCATGTGCTCCATCCCAGCCCTTACTGCCCACTACATCTGGCTGGGCAGAGAGGTGAGAGGAGCCAAAAGAAAAGCTACTTCAAGCACTTTATGCTATGTCTTAAATCTCAGCCACTTGGCTTGAAAGTTTTCCCATGACCTTGGCAACCTGCTCTGCCTCTGTTTCCTCTCTGTTCTCTGCACTGAGCACACCGACAGTTAAGAGTCATGTTTCTTTACACACTCCTTAAACAGTTGTACAGATAAGTACTAGAAATGATTTACATGGTATTCTTGGGCCAAGGCTTTGAGAGTACCCAAATCCATCTGAGGACCTTCAAGTGCATGTGAGCAGGTACCAAGAGACCAAAGGAAAGCAAAGCAAAAAATCCTTGAAGAGTAACCTTCCCCTACCTTTTACACCCCTGTGCCTTTGCTCATGCTAGTCCTCCTGCCCAGTAGCCCACCTCATCTCATTTCACACTGAATTTTGTTACACAGAAAATTCCTATACATCCTTCAACATCCAGTTCAAATATCCCTTCCTCTGTGAATCGTTCCCTGCCCCTCCCAACGCCCCTCTCCTTCTTCTGGGTCTTCAGCTCTCCATTCCTGTCCCCTGAGAAGCACATGCTGCACCACTCAGGCCCACCAGAAGCTGGGTCACAGGCAGCTTTGACCTGTGTTCATCTGTGGCACAAACGCTTACTGAGCACCCACTGTGCCAGGTGCCATGCTAGGCACCACGGATACAGCAAGAGCAAACCACTCCAGCACTACTTTCATGGAATGTTAAACTTACTGGAAGAAGAAGACATTAATCAGATCATCACAGAAATCAACATATATTTTCAAACTCCAAGAAGCAGTATTAAATAGGGGTACAGAGAAGCCAGAAGAATCTATATCAGGGATGGAAACCTAGTTGGGGATGTCAGAGAGCACTGAGCTGAGATTGGAAAGCTGAGTGGTTTTCCTAAAGCCAGCAAAGCCCCTTCATGCCATAGAACGAAAATAGGATATGGCCCCTGACCCTCAGTTTCCTCCTCTGCAGCTGAAATAATAATAGTACTTATCTCATAGGGACTATGCTTATAAGGATGAAATCAATTAGGTAATATAATGAAGCCTCGATACAGTGCCTGGTATATAGTAGTCCCTTCATTAGACATTAACTAATTATTGTTGTTGTTGTTCATTGGCTCCAGGGTCTTAAGTGAGAATACAAGTACAGATGACCCTTCAATAACATCGGTTTACACTTCACAGGTCCACTTACACACATTTTTTTCAGTAAATACCTGTCCTGTTTTCAATATGTGGTTGGAAGTGTGCAGATGTGGAGAGCTGACTGTATGCACAATCCATGCCATTTTATATAGGGGACCTGAGTATCTGCAGATTTTGGTGTCCGTGGGGGGTCTTGGACCCGATCCCCTACAGATACTGAGGATAATAGTTAAGTTTTGGGGGAGTCGAAAGTTATACACAATTTTTGACTGCATGGGCTCAGCAACCCTAACTTCCATATTGTTCAAGAGTCAACTGTACTTCTAAAGTGCCGCTGAGAGTTACGCCACTTAGGATGGGTGTAGTGGGAGTCCCCAAGATCCCTGCCTCCCCAGGTTCAGTGACTCACTAGGACTAAGAGGACACAGCATATGGTCGTACTCAGAGCTAAGACTTATTACAGTGAGAAAATACGAAGCAAAATCAACAAAGAAAAAGGGCACATGGAGAAAAGTCTGGAGAAAACCAGCACAAGCTTCCAAGGGGCCTCTCCCAAGGGAGTCACACAGGACACACTCAATTCCCCCAGTAGCAAGCTGTAACAACACGTGAAATTGCATCTACCAGGGAAGCTGGCCTGAGCCTGGAAGTTCAGGGATTTTGTCAGGGCTCAGTCAGGTAGGCAGCCTCCACCTGACACATAAGAAAATCTAGACTCCCACAAAGGAAGATGTCACCAGATTTAACCATACTGTTTGTACCGTTTGGGCACAGAGAGCTACTTTATCAGTTATGAAATGGTGGGAACTCTCCCAAAATCTAAGTTCCTACATGCCAGCCAAGGGACAACCTTGCAAACTAGCCTCTAAGGATAGCAGCGCAGGTCAGCGATGTTAACTCTTTTCTGAACAGCAGAACATGAACACAAACAAGACAAGGGCTAACTTTTTATTATTTTTATCAAACCATATATATTTTTCACAGAAGTAAAAACAGGAAAGAAGGAAAGGAAATGACCCTAAAGGTATGGAAATTATAGGATCTGCAATAACAAAAAAAGAGCCATAAACAGAAAAGATTACACCACTAAAATCTGCAAGGAAGAAGGGTCAGGGTCTTGGTGTAGAAACAATTCTTAAACATCTGTGAGATTATTTTTAGTGACTGGGCTGTAAATAAACTAGAAATCATGTTAACTGGCTACACATAGTAATACTCCCCTGATATCTCAGATGTGTCATAGTCATGCTTAATAGTCTGACTTCTTTCCCATGTAGAAACTTCCTAACCAGACTGTGGGGAGCTCTATACCTGCACTATTCAAAACAGTGGCCATAAGCCACATGCGGCTTTTACGAATTTCAGTGTGACTAGTCCAAATTGAGATATGCTGTAAATATAAAATACACTCCAGACTTCAAAGACTTAGTATAAAAAGCAGAATACAAAATAGCTCGCTGATGATTTTTATACTGACTACCTGTTGATATGATAATATCTGGAATATATTATGTTAGATAACATGTTCTTTTTGGTTTTTTAGGGAGCTATTAGAAATTTTACATTCTATATGTGGCTTGCATTTGCAACTCACATTATATTTCTATTAGACAGGGATGGTCTATACCCCCTACATATTAATCTGTCATGCTTTTCCAGGTTCCTTCAAACCTGGAGTGGAGGCCGTACCTCAATGTCTGTTGTGTTGGCAAAGAATTCCAGGCATGTTGTCTTCCCACTTGCAATATTGCCCTCCACACAGACCTGGCAAAAGACAAATGCATGTTAGAACCAGAAATTGAGCACCTAGGGGAATAGCGGGAAGAAGTTCTAGGGGAGGGCTCAAGTGAACAGCATAATTGGTTCAGTCTAAGACTTCAATATGTACACAAAAATCCCTCCGCAGGAAACCCCCAAGGTCCTGCTGTTAGTATAACAAACAAATTGACCCTCCCCTTCGGTGGTAGGCTCCAGGCCCACTGATGGTAACCACCAGACCACTGACCTCCAAGATGGAGGTTACATCAACCCCTAGACCATATACAGTTTGCCCTTGGCCACCCTAGCTCTACCATTCCCTGGCTCACAACCCCTCAGACTATTAGATTTTTGGCCTGAGTGTCCTGCCTTCTTAACCAGAGCCTAATGGCTTTGAGGCTGGGAAGCATGTAAATGTTATCTAGAACAGGGGTCCCTAACCCCCGGGCTGCAGACTGGTACTGGTCCGTGGCCTGTTAGGAACTGGGCCGCACAGCAGGAGGTGAGCAGCACCGAGTGAGGGAAGATTTGTCTGTATCTGCAGCTGCTCCCCAGAGCTAGCATCACTGCCTCAACTCCACCTCAGATCATCAGGCATTAGATTCTCACAAGAGAAGCAGTCCCTGGTGCCAAAAGGTTGGGGACCACTGATCTAGAACCTATGTTACCAGATCACAAGAGGAAATGGGCAGTTCTGCATAAGTAAGAAGATAAACTGCTTCATGCATAAAAACATGCTCAGCCATGGACTGGAAGGTATTAGGACAGAAGGACTTGGTTGAGCATCTTGTTGCAGGCCAGGCCCTAAGATGTGTAACATACACCATTACTGCATTTAACCTCACCAGAACCTGACAAGTGGGTTCTAACATTTTCACAGAAGAGAAAAATGAGGCTTGAAGAAGGAAATTAAAGCAGGGAGAATATGGTGAACCTACACTCTTCTCACACTAACTGCACTGGTGGAAGAGGTCTCATGGCACTGGAGAGAGGGGTCACAGACAGCCATCTGGGATCTATCTATAGCAAAAACCAAGGAGCCTCTCACAAGTTCTTCACTGTAGAGAAAGAAAGCATTAGAAGCAGTGGTTTTCAATCTTGTATATGTGGCTAGGATCACCTGGGAGCTTTGAAAAATCTATACAAGGAAGCCACAACGCAGGCCAATTACAGCACGATCTCTCAGGTGGGACTCGGGTCTCAGGACCTCGTAAACCTCTCCAGGTGATTTCAATGTGCAGGAAGACTGAGCACTATTGGTCCATAGACACTGGCTTCAGAAGCACCAGAGGAGCACCCAGGCCCTCTGGGTTGGAGCCCTCGAACCTGCTGCCCAGTGATTCTGACAAGGCTCTGCTCAGCCAGGCACTGCTGGTTCCAGCAGATCACAAGAAGAAATGGGCAGTTCCATATAAGACAGACTGGCCTTTGAGAACACGTGTAAGACATATCTGGGGCACACACAGTCAGAGAAGGACCCATTCTGCTGCACAATGAACTTTACACCCAGGTTGGAAGCACCCAGAGAAATGTGGGCCACTTAGGTGACTTGCCCAAGGTGCTGGGCCGAGATGAGGAAAGAGCTGGAACATCCAGGCCTGGTAGACAGCTCTTCATGACCCCAGTGGAGCCTCAGTAACACTCTCCATAAAACATGGCATCACAATAGGCTGTCTCGCCTTGAGAGACCCACTATAAACTCTGTCAGTTGGTTATTAAGGTTTTCTCCTAGATCCTAAAGAGTATCCAAAAGAGCTGAACAATCACACATCAACAGATGCCAAGCCACCCTCCAACCCTGGCTCCATGCCAGCTCACTCCTTCCGAACTCAAAACTACAAAATGAACTCAAGGGAGTGAGCAAAAGGGAAATCCCATTAGGGCACTAGTGGATTTGATTTTTTATTGCTGTTCTTTAAAAGAAACAAATTCTCCTCTGCCTAAACATTTAAAAAGAGCTCAACCAAGTATTACTCTGCAGACTCTTTCTTTCCTGTTCACTGCAAGTAACATGTTCGGATGAGACCTTCTTCTAAAAATACTTGTTCCAGTTCCCACCATGAAATCCTGAAAGTTGGTAAATCTAAGGCCTTTGATTAACAACTGGTTTTCTTGGTGCAGAAGGCAAGCATGAAGAACCTCACAATGTTCCCCTGTCAAGGATGGAAGAAAGAGGAGCTAAGCAAAGAAAGTCTTTCTTTAAAGTGATGTCTAAAAATATTATAAGAGGAGTGCATGCCCACTGAAGAAAATAGAAAAAAAATCATAAAGTAATAATCCACTAGTAAGAGATAATAATATCATTAAATTTCAGCATATTTCAGGCAAGTACTATTTCCTATACACATTTCTCATCTTTGAGAGTCTTTCAACTGCTCATTGAACACCTATTATGTGCCAGATACTGTGGACTCAGAAACCAGTCTCACTACCCACAGAGCTCACAATGAGTGTGAGGATGGGGAGGAGAGTAACAGCAGATTACAAGAAAAGATGTTCACCATGCTGTGGGAACACGTGGTGGGCGTGAATGACCACTCTGTGATGTGCCAAAGTTTACCTCCACTTTCCTCAGCTATTAGACCTTAATTCCAACTGCCCATGATTATAATTATCACTGCAATACACCACCTAGCCTTATTTTTAAATAAAAACATTTAATATTCTGAAAATAGAAGTTAAGCATTCTCACAGTAGGAAATACAGAGAATTAAAAGAATAAAATAAAAATCACTCATAATTCCAAATAAGCACCATTTAGATTTTTAATCAGAACCCAGCTCTCCAGAGGAAAACAGGTTCAGATGCCAAAGACCCCACCAGAAGAACCAAAATATATATTGTTCTATTAAAGATTCTGAGAAATCTTCAGTAAAAAGGATACTTGCCCAAGTATTCAACAACTGGTAAATAGATAAACAAGTGTGGTACATCCACACAATGGAACACTATTTGGCCAAAAAAAAAAAAAATTGGTGGACACCCAAAAGGGAAACCTATTTGGCCAAAAAAAAAAAAAAAAAAAAAGGAATGAAATATTGGTACATGCTACAACATGGATAAACCTTGAAGACATTATGCTAAGTGAAAGAAGCCAGACCCAAAAGACCAAATGCTATATGATTCCATTTTATAGGAAACGTTCAGAAAAGAAGGCAAACTCATAGAGAGGAAGTAGATTAGCAGTTGCCTAAGGCTGAGGGAGTGACTGCAAATAGGCATGTGGTTTCTTTTCCTAGTGACAGAAATAATCTAAATTAGACTGTGGTGATGTTGCACAACTCTGTAAACTTACTAAAATTCACTGAATTGTACACTTAAAATTAGTAAATTTGACAGTATGTAAATTAAAATCAATAAAGCTGTTTTTTAAAAAAAGAACCCAGTTTAATTTCATTTAGCATTCAAAGAATTAAGACTCCTTATCCCCCAGATTCTCTCTCCCTTTCTCATACACACCCACAGTTAACATATCCCAACTTTCCCTTAACCAAACTGGCAATTTCTACATTAACAATTTGTAGTATTTCTTTTTTTCCTCTATGGACAGTTTATACAGTATTTCATTTGGATCATACTTTACATTTTTTTATCCTTTTTTTCACCTCTCACATAATGAGTACCTTCCCAGGTCATTAAATATTTTTCAAAAACAGGATTTTGAATAGCTGAATAATATTCCATCATATAAAATAACCCATGGCCTCTGCGGTGGGAATCTGAGGCCCAGGGATGGAGGCAGACTTTTCTATCCCTGAAGAACTTTTTGTATATGTTTTTTACTAGGTGCATATATTCCCTCACTCCCCTCTTCAAAAAAAAAAATAATAATAAATACACACACATTATCCTACACTGGATGGTACACATAAAAGAGACTTACCACTAACTTTTTCTCTTTTTCATTTTCTTTATCTACAAAAAGAAAAAAATCAATTTTTAAACTTTTTTAAATGATTCACTGTTATACTAATTTGCTAAACCACCACAAAGACAGTAATTTTTGTGTTTGTTCCCTAACCAAAAAATGTTTTCCAATGATACCTGGAACCTTCGATGCGTAGAGGCAGACCCACTACAGCTGTCTACCTTTGTGGGACACTATGCCACTGCTGCCTGGGTCCGTTTGGCACACCGGGGCCCCAAGTGTGCTCAATTTTTTTTAACTTATTATCCTTTCCATTTTCCACACATTTTATATTTATGAGCCTCACAGATGGGTGTCGGGCAAGTTAAAACGCCTCCACTCACAACACCGGGGTAAGCAATGGGTTCGGCCCAGGACTGACATCTCAGCCCACCCACAGCACAGGTGATTTTGAGGTGCAACTTTACAGCCCAAGGCCAAAGAACGCCAGAAGTTGGCTATAACAGCGGTTCCCATGTCTGAAGGGGAGGATCTCCACTCCCTGTGGGAAAGAGAGGGCACCGAGCCTCAAACACCCGCCACTCGCAGGGGGCTGGTTACTTGCAGCTCCCAACCTGTCTCCCCCAAGGCCAAATGAATCAAACCAGGAGTGGAACAGGGTACTGAAGCAGCCCCCGCGCATGGGAAGTGGGGTTCTTTCAGCGTATTAGAAGATTTCCGAGCTCCGAACAGACCTGGAGCCCCAGGGACCCACCCACTTGCTGCTGGCTCACTTCTGGGGTACCAGCCAATGGCCGTCCCCGCCCCTCCCCTCAGCCACTGGGAGGAAATCCTGGTGCCTTGGAGGAGTTTCAGGTGCAGGCGGGTGCCCGGAGACGAGGGAGGGAAGTGGGATGGACCCCGCTGAGCGCTAAGACCCGGGCCTCATCCTGCAGCCAGTGAAGTGAGATGGAGAGATGCGTTACCCGGAGGCCAGATCCGGCGCTGCACCCCCCGCGGCCCTGGGCCTAAGGCAGGGATCCCGGGCCCCTGGCGGCGCAGCGTTCGGAGAGCCCAGCTCCGCAGCGGCCGCAGAAACATGGTCCAGCGGACGGATCCGGCGCGTGCAGACTTCTTTCCTGTGCGAGTCAAAATGAGTCGGCGCGAGAGCGGCGCGAGCGCAGCCCCGCGGCCCGGTAGCGTCAGCACGCCGCCTCCTTCACGGCGCCGGCCTAGCCCTGGCGCCTGCTGGGGCCGTGCTTTAAAGAGACCCCGTCACATTTCACACTCCCACAGGGAAAACAAAGGCGAAGGGTTCGCGTTTGCGGCCAGGAAATCTTCCTGCTAACGGGATACAGGCAGAATGAACCCATGATTTGGCAAGACTAGGGGGTGGATGGATGGCCAATAATACCAGCAACAGATTGGTATTATTGTAGATGACTTCATTGAGCACCTGTTCTATCTAGGCAGCTGATGTCATTTATATTCCCCACCAACCCTGTCAGTGGATATTGTCACTCCCAATCTCAGAGCTGAGCTGATCCTCAGAAATTTAGGTAACTTGTTTAAATAATCAGAAGCATTCATTACGGAACGGAGCTGGAATTCAAGCCCAGCTCTCTTACTCCACAGCCTGTGCTCTCTGTCCTCTGAACTTGGACATATCCAGAGTCTGGACTACAGAAATACTGGATCCCTTAGGAAAGTGTTAAAAAAAAAAAAAAAGAAAAAAAAAAAGAATCCTAAAATTTGTATGGAACTATAAAAGACTGAATTAGCCAAAGCAATCCTGAGAAAGAAAAAGTTCCCTGATTGATTTCAAACTAATAATACAAAGCTATAGTAATCAAGACTGTATGGTACTGGCATGAAAACAGACACATAGATCAATGGAAAAGAACAGAGAACCCAGAAATAAACCCATGTATATATGGTGAATTAATTTATGACAAAGGTGGCAAGAATATGAAATGAGAAAAAGACAATAAATGAGTTAGGAAAACTGAACAGCTACATGGACAAAAATGAAACTGGACCACTATCTTATACCATATAGAAAAATAAATTCGAAATGGATTAAAGACTTGAATGTTAGACCTGAAACCACAAAACTCCAAGAAGAAAACACAGGCAATAACCTCTTGGACATCTGTCTTGGTAGAATTTTCTTGGACCAGTCTCTTCAGGCAAGGACAACAAAAGCAAAAAAATAAATAAATAAAAAAACTTTAATGTGATTACATCAGACAATGTATTTGCACAGTGAAGGAAACCATCAACAAAATGACAAGGCAACCTACTGAATGGAAAAATATATTTGCAAATAATACATCCAATAAGGGGTTACTATCCAAGAAATATAAAGAACTTAAACAACTTAACATCAAAAAAAACAACCTAATTTAAAAATGGGCAGAGGACCTGAATACACATTTCCCAAAGAAGAGATACAGATGGCCAACAGGCACGTGAAAAGATGCTCAACATCACTGATCATCGGGGAAATGTAAATCAAAACCACAATGAAATATCACCTTGCACCTGTCAGAATGGCTATTATCAAAAAGACAAAAAAGTAACAAGTATTGGTGAGGATGTAGAGAAAAGGAAACCCATGTACATTGCTGGTGGGAATGTAAAATGCTGCAGCCACTATGAAAAATAGTATAGAGACTTTCTCAAAAAATTAAAAATAGAACTAACATATGATCTAGCAATTCCACTTCTAAGTATTTATATGAAAAAGGAAACCAAAAACATTAATTTGAAAAGATATATGCACCCCTATGTTCATTGCAGCATCATTTACAATAACCAAAGTGTGGAAGCAACCTAAGTGTCCATTGATAGATGAATAGTTAAAGAAGATATGGCATGTGTGTATATACATACATGTATATACATTAGAATATTACTAAGCCATGAAAAAGAATGCAATATTGCCATTTGCGACAACATGAAAGGACCTACAGGATATTATGATAAGTGAAGTAAACTGGACACAGAAAAACAAATACTATTTAATTTCACTTACATATGGAATCTAAAAAGCAAAACAAATGAACAAACAAAACAGAATCGAAACAGGCTCATAGATATAGAAAACAAACTGGTAGTTACCAGAGGGTGGATAAAATAGGTGAAGGGTATTAAGAGGTAGAAACTTCCAGTTACAAAATAAATAAGTCATGGGGATGTAACGTACAGCATAGGGAATGTAGTTAATAATATTGTAATAATTTTAATGGTGACAGTTGGTTCTTAGACTTAGTATGGGGATCATTTCATAATGTATATAAATATTGAATCACTATGATGTATACCTGAAATTAATAGGATATTATATGTTGATTATATGTCAATAAAACAGAAACAAGACAACAGATGCAAAACAGAGTTGCTTATGCTACTAAGTTCCATATCACCAACCACAGCTTAGGTTATAGTTTTGGCTCTCTCAGAAATGGTTTCTTAAAATAGTCAATCAGGAATCGCTTGATCAGCAAGGTAATCTGCCTGATAGATCCCTCCCATCCCCTAAAGGAAAGTAACCCTTGCAATAACCAGCCAACTTTTGCCTAGTATAACTTCCTTGTTCCTGCTCCCTTTTGCATATAAAAGTCTTTCATTTTGTACAGCTCCTCGGAGCTCTTTCTATCTGCTAGGCTGGATATTGCCAAATTCAAATCAATTTTTGCTCAAATAAACTCTTAAACTTTTTAATATGCCTAGTTTATCTTTTAACGAAGGCACAACCAATATTATACAGACAACTAGGGGGTAGGGAGTAAGCCTGTAAAACCCACCCATAGTCAGGTAGCAAAAGTTCAGCCCAGGTGTGAGGTAGATAGGGCCCAGGCCCTGCAACCTAAGCTATCTCGGTAAGGAACAGTGACTGACTGTGTGTATGTGCCCGCTCCAGTGCTTGGATGGAGGGGTTTCCCCACTCTCCCAGGAGTGCAAGATGCTAGAAGTCACTTCGTGGACAGAGAAAAATAAGTCATCTGTGAGAGAGTTTACTCAGCCTCTAGATTTGTTATCCGCAAGTAGAAAGCCCACCTCGTGCTTCCTATAATATGTCAGACACCTAGCACAGGGCAAGTGTGTGCCCTCCATAAACACATTTCAAGATTAAGTTCAACATTTTTTGTGAGTGATTGGGAACGAGGCTGATGGAGGTACCTGCTGATCAGATTTGCCTGACATGGACTGAAGCTGAGTTGATCAGGATCCAAAGAGGACTGAATGGACTGGAGTTGTGGCCAAATTATCCAAGACAGAATTTAAAACCCCAAAAATAAGCCACACATACTTCACATGCCTAAAAAGAAAGGCTCCAAGATAGTGGAGCTGTGGCTTCATAGGAGCATTTGTGAAAAACACACAACTGAATTTTCTGAAGGGCCATGGGCTGTTCTATGTTAGAACAAGCACCCATGGGAGGCCAAAATAAAAATATGCACAACAGGCTCACAAATCCAGACTGTGATTCCCCTTTCCCCTGGGGAGTGGGAAGAGGGGAAGGGAGAGGAACACAGTATGAGGCCCAGACCATGAGTTCAGACTACACATATTCTACATCTGCTATGTGCCAGACTCCGAGGACCCTGCAGGGAAAGCAGAGTGGCAGGTCCCTGCTTTTGTGTAATTCAGAGTCTTAGATATATACATATCAGCTAATGATAAATTCTATGAGAGTGACTGGCTGTTTCAGACAGAGTAACCAAGGAGGTGGCAGCCACCGCCCTTCCTTACCTCCTCCTCCCACCCTCAAAGAGCACTTCCTGACAGCAAAGCTCCTGTGGAGAGCAGGACAGCAGTTATCACTGGTGCCTGGCAGGGCGGGGAGGCGCTAACGGGGAGCTGGCGTGTGTAGCTCTCAAGATCCGGGGAAACGCAGCTGGCGACCTCAAGCGGCCGGCTGAGGGCGAGCAGCCTGGGGCGCGCAGCCTGGGGCGCATGCGTGGGCCGCGGGGGTGGGCGCGTGCACGCGCGAGAATGGGAATCCTAGCAGGGCGGTGCGAGACAGCTGCAGCAGTTGCCGCAGGCGCGCGGGGCCGGGTGGAGCAGTGAGCTGAGAAGGTGGGGTCTGAAGGGCAAGTACTGTAACTAGGTCTGCGGCCGCGATGCCGACCCTGAAGCTGAAGCCGAAGCATCGCCCCTTCTGCTTCAGCGTGAAAGGCCACGTGAAGATGCTTCGACTGGTGAGGGTTGGCTGTGGGGTAGAGGGCAGTATGCAGCCATGGTCACAGGCAGTGAAATGGCTGTAAAGTAGTAAGTAGAATGTCCTGTCGTCTCTTCTAACCTTGTTTTTATCAAGGCTGCCCTAGAGGCAAGGCATTTTTCTCTAAGCAGCCGGTCAGGAGGAGAAAAATAAGGCACTGTCTTCCCCTTCAGGAGCTTTACACACACATTTATAAAGCAAAATCAGCATATCTACCTGAATGGCCCACACTTGAACCCAAAGCCAGGTACCCAGGTTACCAGGTGAGGCAGCTGCTATTGTACCACTCAGAAGCCAATAAGATAAGACTAAAGGGTTTCCGTGCATGCCATGTCTACTTATAAGTCAGAAGAAGTCTGCTGTGACCAAACTAAAAGCTGATACAGCCCAGAGCCAGGACAATGGAACTGCCTGTTTCTGGGGCATTGGACCTACCAGGAGTATTGCAGTCAGTTCTGAACAGAAGTTTGGAGAGAATGAATCATCATTTGGAGTAAGGTGACCTGGCTGGCTAACTAGAGAAGTAGAAACTATCATAGGAGAATATGTTGAAAGAATTCAAGAAAAAAGGAGAAAGAAAAAATAATTTAAAAATATTAAAGAAGTGACATAAGAGAGGAGATGGAAATAAAAGTTAAAGGGAAACAGTTCTGCTTAATATGAGGAATAATGTTATTTTCAGAAAACTCCCCAAATTAAATGTCCAATTAGTGAGGACATTGTAAATAGCTAAATAAACATGGCAGAAAACCATTTATTTAGCTATTTTAGAAATGATCATTTTTACAGCTTAAACTTGTATTCAGTAATCATTGAATAAATTATATTTGTTTGTTCTTTTCTTATAGGCACTAACTGTGACATCTATGACCTTTTTCATCATCTCACAAGCCCCCGAACCATACATTGTTATCGCTGGATTTGAAGTCACCGTTATTTTCTTTTTCATAATTTTATATATGTTCAGACTTGATCGAATAATGAACTGTATATTATGGCCTTTGCTTGTAAGTGTTCAGTTTCATCGTTAAAATTAACTACTTTTTCCTGCCATAGTGAGACATTTTAATAAACTCTATTCTTTAGTTTTCTTAAGCTTGTAAAGAATGTCTGATAGGCTTAGGAAGGAGGCACTCTACCCACTGCTAATGTGCTCTGTATTGTCCCTGGGGGATTCTCAGGGAACCAGGGTAGTCACAGAACATAAATTCTCTCAGCTCCGTCTAAAACTGACCCTTCTGTTAGGAGAATTCACTTTAATGTAGATCTTCTAAAGAAGTTTAAATTTAAGATCATGATAGAACATTTTTAATCTTTACCTCCCTTTCAAATGGGTGTTGATATGGCCTCAAAATTGGATAATAGAAATGGAGGCGGATAATATAAGTATCTATATCTTATACATCCCTGATCACTAAATGGAAAATCAAAATAATTAGGGAGGCTCAATAAAGCACAAAATTACCTTACTTAAAAATGTCTGCAATCATTAATGCTAAGTAATTTTAAACTCATCTTGTAGAGCCTCATTTAGTAGCATACGGATTTCACCTACCATACTCATAGCATTAGGAATAACTGCCCAGCAGAGTGTCCAAATGATTCTGTAAATCATCAGACAAGTTGAAGATATTAGTTAAGCTGTTTGTGGTCCTTCAGCCTGGAATATTAGCTGGTTCTAGGAAAAACCAAGTGACTTCGCCTCCTTCTCCTCCTTCAAGTCTTATCCCCAGCATCCTATCTCCACAGGTCTCCCTCCTGTGACCCTCTGCTGCACTCGTGTCATCCTTTCAAAGTGCTGATATCTAAGCTGATAACCCCTACTAAAGAAAGAGGACTTCAGAGCTATTCTCAAACCATAAGCATGCCTTAAAGTGGTACCTTCTGGAACCACCTTTGAAGGGCAATGATGAGCATTTCAGGCTAATCACAAGATGAGAAAGTCTCAAAAGGGGAAAGCTGCCAATTAGATAGGATCTTCATAGCACCTTTGCAAGCCCCTACTTGATCTACACTTTAGAGCTGGACCTGATTGGAAGGAGGTCTAGGAAAAGAGATTACAATCCTTTCTCAGTTGGCTCTCAGAGTACATAACATCATTTAGTGGCAGAAAGGGCTAAGCTAAATTATTCTAAGGATTTCTTCAAAGAAAGGACGAATGTGTTTCGCATCTTCAAATTAATTATAAATTAATTTTGTACTAAAAACTCATAGTTGGTTAGTTGCTCTTCATAATCTGCTTTTCCAGGGTTAATAAAACTAACACATTTTATCATTTACTTTTCTCCAAACTAAGAATTCTCTGAAGCTTCTTCTTACATGTCCCAGTAATAAACTTGGAGCCCTCAATTTAGCAGAATACATTGAGAAAGAGAGTGGCCTATGTGTAGCATACTGAGTGTCTCTAAATCTCTCAGGATAAAACTTTGCCAATATTGAAATCTTTGAGAAATGGTGCTATATGGTCAACTAAGTTATTACTCTATTAAGAAACCCAAGTTCCTCTCTACTCTTGATCTAACTAAATCATTTATTCAACAATGTTAAAAAGTATCTGCTAATCCCAGATTCTGTAATGAGTTCTCTGATAAGACAAAACACAAATCTCTACTGAGAAACTTTCAAGGTAGCCAGGAAGACAGATGAGCAATTCAGTGTAATAGGTGCTGTGACAGATGTATACCAGGATGGTGTGGAGGCACCCAGCCAGGGAAGGGGACCAAATCGTAACAGGCTTTCCTGAAGAAAAGTGCCTAAGCTGAGAGCTGAAAGATGAAAAATAGTTAGCTGACTGATATGGGGATGAAAGGGCTTTTCCCATAGAGGGAGCAATGTATGTGAGGGTGTAGGAGGAGAAAGAGCATGCCCCTCAAAGACCTGCCGGTAGTTCTGAATGGCTGATATTGAGCTATAAAGAGAGGACCAAGAGCAGAGGCTTAAGAGGCAGAAGGAGGTCAGAGCATTCAAGGCTTTGTATGCCCTAAGTTTTAACACAAAAGCCACTGGAAATTTTTGGAAGTTTTTAAGTAGGAGAGTGACATGATCAGCTTACATTTTAGGAGATGGCACTGGTGGCAGTGTTACTAATGGCTTAAAGAGGAACAAAACTAGAGATAGGTCTCAGAAACCACTTAAAAGTCTGTTACCATAATCCAGGCATGAAAATGATAAAGGCCTGAACTAAGGTTATAACAGTAGCTGGAGAGAAAGAGGATGTTAATGAGGTGAATGGATAGGACCGGGTAACTAAGGAGAATCAAGGATACCTGCCATTTAAATAACTATCTTGAGAGAGAAATGAGGTAGGAAGTATAGGAGGAAGAATAGGTTTAAGGAAGGACCAGGGAGTCTGGTACATAATGGGTTCAGTTTGAGAAATACTAGGTTTTAGTTGCATGTGGGGTATTCAGACAGAAATGCTCAGAACAGGTCTGAAGCTTAGGAGAGAGGAGTTAGAGCTTCAGCTTTGGGAGTCATCACCTTGTGATGGAAATGAGCTCTGGGACTGGCCTAAATGGCTCAGAAAGAATATACAGCAAGCTAAAAAGTAAAATTGAGAAATAACAACATACGGGGTAAAAAGGGGGGGTGGCCAGAGAAAGGCAGGAGAGGACCCAAGGGAGACCCATGTCACAGAAGCCAAGAGATGATAGCATTTCAAGAAGAAAGGAGTGAATAATATTACATGTAAAGGGAGAAAGTCCAGAAAAAAGATATATTCACTGACTATTAATAGAAGCCCCTGGAGACCAGTACCAGAGTGGTTTGTCTAGAATGGACAGGTGACAGTAAAGCTGTGGGAATAGTCAGACTGAACAGAGAAGGAGAGATGACTGTAACTAGAGGGACCCCCGCACTGAGTTGAGGCAATCTGGTCAGGGACAAAGAAGGGTAATGAACAGAATGAGGTCCCTGCAGAGTGGCCATGGGAATGGGAGCCAGCGCACAGTTGGAGAAGTTGCCTGGGGTTCTTTTACTGTAACAAAAGTGAAGGACACAAAGATGGCTGAAGATCTCTATTAATCTGGTGGGGGTGGGGAGTGGATGGCGGAAAGGTAATTTGTAAGTACTTCTGCCTGATAGCCACTATCTTCACTGATTAGGAAAGGAATTGGTCATGTAAAGCTGACCTTTCTATTCTATGTTTTCAGGATATTATCAACTCAGTGGTAACAGCAATATTCATGATGACTATATCTGTGCTGGCACTGATCCCAGAAACTACAACATTTATGATCCTTGGAGGGGTAAGTGGAGGCCTTTCCTATTTCTTCCTTTAGGTTTGATCAGAATTCAGATTTACTTGAAAAATAGATGTAAGAACAGAAAACTATACTATATTCATCCTTAGGGCTCCTAGGCCAGTATATAGTACCCAGTGGCTTAGTATTTTTTTGTATGAATACATGCCTTAATAATTAACATGAAGGAATGTGATTTCACACTAAAACTGAAGTTAACCGAATAAAGAGGTTCCTACATATCTCTCAAAGGTATGTGGTGCTAGACTAGACAGAGAAAACCTAGACTAAGAAAGGTTACTGGAATCAGTTACAGTACTTAGCTCTGAGAAACCTGATGTCAAGCAAAAATTAATAAGTTTCATAGCTCTTCCTTAAAAAAGAAAAAAAAACATACATACCAACCCGATGTCAAGCAAAAATTAATAAGTTTCATAGCTCTTCCTTAAAAAAGAAAAGAAAACATACATACCAACCCAATGTCAAGCAAAAATTAATAAGTTTCATAGCTCTTCCTTAAAAAAGAAAAAAAAAACATACATACCACTCGTGAAGATGAGGGATTGTTTTGAGCTCAGTTATTTCTTGTCCACATCCTTCTTCAGGTGGACTATAATAGATGTCTCATAATAAGGCAATAGTGGTAGGAAGCCTTACAACTAAAGAATTGTTTTGAACACTGCTTGAAGAGATACAAATCAGTTCAATTAGACTTTATGCTGGAAGGCAAGCCAAAATAAAAGTGTCGAGTAATACAGTTGAAATAGTAGCATCTAATATTCTTCTGAGATTTCTTATAAGAGGTTCAAAATCATTTGGCTTTTCTAGGTTCTGATCCAGAGAAGCGAATTAGAAAATTCTTCTTAAATAAATTCCCCTCTTCCTTCCTTGTCTTTTTAAAGTATGGGCCATTTAGGAGACCTGACTCGGATAGCCATGTATATCAGAATCCATGGTTTTTATCTCCCATTTAGGAGAACCAACTATTCTCAGATAGCCATGTATGTCAGAATCTATGGTTTTTCATCTTCCTTATTAGGTTTTTCATCTCCTTAGAGCCTAATGCTTAGGCCCTAATAGACTTCATGAGGTAAGGTAATTATTATAGAAATGAAATAATGCTGTAAGAGCAATTTCCCCCAGTTGTCTTTAAAGATAATCTTATCCCTCTACAATGGAGAAAGAGAGGCCAGGCAAAGGTCTTTCTTTGGAATTTACTTTCATCTACTTATTTACTCATTCATTCATTCTTTAAGTGCACTTTGATAGGTGCTGACAAAGTATAGAGCTGTGCTGTCCAGTGCGGTAGCCACTGGTCACATATGGCTATTGAGCACTGGAAATGTGGCTGGTCTGTTTTGAGATGAGCTGTATGTATAAAATACACACTGGATTTCAAAGACACCCCCCCCAACAAAATATAGAGTATTTCATTAATAACTTTGTTATATTGATGACATGTCAAAATGGTAATATTTTGGACATATAGGGCTAAATAAAATATCTTCCTAAGTGCAAGAAGTAAGTCAAATAGTTGAACATTGGAGATATAAATGTTGACTGATAACTAAATATCAGTAGGGCTTTAAACAATATATCCAGGAGCATAGTCAAGAGATCCAGAGAAGTATTTATTTCAGAGCCCATACCACTTCAATGTTATTTCTGCTCACTTAAATTATCTTTTCCCTTTCTCTAGGCCATAACTGGGAAAACCTAGGAATGAGAATAAAATGATCTCAGAGGTCTCCTCTCATTTTAGTATCAGGTAGCAGGGTAGGGAGCAATCCCAGGGCCCTAGCAAGGAAAGGAAGCCAGTGGGCACACCACTTAAAACCTGTGAATGACACAAGTCCAGATCACAGCTCCAGCAGTGACGCAATGTCTTTGTTTCCAGGCGTTTGGACTCCTGGTAGTGGTGTGCAGCATTGCTGACGCGGCTCTTATTTACCGGAAGCTTCTATTTAATCCGAGTGGTCCTTATCGGAAAAGTGCTACTCATGACAAAATATAAGTTTTATGGTTTTAAATATATATATATATATATATATTTTTTAAGGCAGTGCTAAGTATTAAACATATGTCTTTATTCTTGCACACAATTTCTGCAGTTGTTCTCATTTTAATCTCAATATGGGAGCTAGAACAACTTTAGGAACTCTGCACCCAGCATTCACCCTTACTATAACTTCCAAGAAAGTGCTGGAAACGCTTGGATGGGATTGGATGGGGTTTTCCCGCTCCTGGGCCTGGGTGGCAAAGAAGGCGCTGGAACCACCCTAAATAGTCTCCGGAGCCCTCTTCCTGGCTGGCTGGCAGCACGGAGGTGGTGAGGTTGAGACACTGAGCTCCCAGGCTAGGCAGGCGCGTTGTATCCAGGGTGGCGACGAGAGTGGCTAGAGGGCTTGGTTTGTCCTCGGGCAGTGAGAGCTGGGTGCGCGCGAGGAATAAGCAGCCGGCAGCCGTTGGGGCGCGACGCTGGTGACCAGGGAGAGCTGGCCACCGCCGCCGTGCAGGATCAGGGACGCAGAGCCAGCCTGACATAGCCAGGATCCCGGGTCCACCATGGATTCTGAAAACGCCAAGGAACCTCTGAGTGGCTTGCAATCCCAGGAAAAACCCCAGAAGGATACGATACCCTCGGAGCATTCTGCTCCCAGGAGTCCTGAGCACTCAGCAAATGAAGCACCCTCGGCGCCGCCACCTACACGCTCACTGCAGTCCACACAGCCTGGGCAGCCAGACCCCAGTAAGCGCACCACACCCTCAAAGACGTCCGCGACACCCTCAAAGACAGCCGCGACACCCTCAAAGACGGCCGCGACACCCTCAAAGACGGCCGCGACACCCTCAAAGACGGCCGCGACGCCCACTGAACACCAAGGGCCCGCTGAACACCAAGGGCCCGCTGAACACCAAGGGCCCACTGAACACCAAATGCATTTGAGCAAATCAGAGACGGAAGCCATCCAAAAGCGTGCCGCGGGCCGAGCCCGAGTCCCGCCCCAGTTCAGGGACAGCTTCAAGCGTTTTTTCTTCTCACCCACGGGAGCGTCGAAGGTCGTGAGGCTGGTGAGTAGAGAGCGCTGGTGCCCGGGCTGAACAAATGCAGGGCGGATGCAGGCCTCAGCCCCGGGAAACCTTCCCTGGGCCTCTTTGCCAGTCCCCCCTGTTTTGCCTCACCTTTCCCCGCAACCTCTCCTCTTGCTCCTCCACACACTCGAACCTTACTACTAAATTTGACTTCTTTTTTCCCGTCTCTGATATTTCTCAGGCTTCCTCTCACAAAGGGATTAATTAGGGAAGCAATGAAGATAATAGCAGAAACATGTAAATCAGCAAACACAAATAATAGAACTGACCAATAAAATTGATAAACCACTGGCCATGTAACAGGGAAAAAAGGGGGGAGGAGCGGACATACAGTCAAAGGTAGAAACCAGAAAGGGAAAATAATCACAAACACCAAAGAAACTGAAGGTATCCATGAGAGTACTTTGCAAAACAAAGAAATCTGAATAATTGGATGAAATAGTTGATTTTCATGGAAAATATAAATTACCAAAACTGATCCCAGAATAGAAAAACACCTAAACACACCAATATAAACACAGAAGAAAATAAGGAAGTATCAAATGAGTATCTTTCAAAAATGGGTCAGACTCAGGCTTTTTCACTGGTTAATGCTTTCAGACCTTCATGGAATAGAATTCTGATACTATTTAAAGTTTTTCAAAGCATGGAGAAAGAAACACTTCTGAACTATTTTTACAAAGTCAGTATAACACTGATATCAAAACCAGACCAAGGTCAGAAAAAGAAAACTAAATAGAAATCTCACTTGTATCAAAGCAATATGTTTTTTCTCATTTATTCCTTAGAAAAATAGGAGTGTATTGGACAATGACACTTTCAGTTTTTATGTATGCCACTCATAAATAAAAACAACTATCTATACTTCTCTATATCTATTTAGAGAAGTAGAGGCTATAATTTCAGCTCACATTACATAATATAAAAATATAAAGTTCATCTGCATTGTTAGAAAATAATACCCTCAAACCAACTCTTTTAAAAATAGGATGTCCCCAACTTTTTCAGAAACTTTTATGAATACAATATTACGTTTGTCCTTATCCTCTTTTATTTCTCCTTTTTAAGACTTATATATGATTTTACTATTTGGAATTTCTGATAAATCAGAATTTAAGATGATATTCACAGATTTTGTGACAAAACTACAATATTTACACATTCACATATAGTACAATGTAGTGGTCAAGTATTAGTAATGGTAATAAACTATTAAAGTAATAAGAAAATCATCATTTTAACAATTTAAATGTAAAGTAATAAGTATTAATATATTAGCAGAAAATATTCATCGATACTTTTAAAAATATACCATGAAGAACAGCATGATTCAATGTTAAAACTATTAAACTAATCCAACATATTATAAATAAAAGGAGAAAAAATTAGATTATATCAAGTAAGGTACAAAACACATTTGACAAAATTCAGCATTCATATCTGATTGCAAAAGAGAGAGGAGACCAGGAAAATAGGAATACATAGATATTTCACTGACATTGTCAAAATAAACCCAAAAGTCAACATCATGTATAATCAAACATCAGATGGATTCCCATTAAAATGAGGGACGAAGATGATGCCTGCTATCAACACTGTTACTCAATATTTTTCTGGAACCACTAGTAGTCACAGTTAGGAAAAAGAAATAAGAACATTTGAAAAGAAGAGGCAAAATATATCATTTCTTTCAGCTGATGTGATCATATATCTAAAAAACTCAAAGTCAACTGGGAAACAATTTAGAACAAAATAATTTCTACTAATTCATTAGTAAAAATTAGCAAACAATCACTTAAAATAGGAAATTTTTTCCTTTACAACAATGATCAAAATATATGATTAAATGAAATAAATTTGAATGGCCTATGTGTAGAAAATATTAAAACTCTACAAGATATTTAAAAGCCGCTAAAATAATTGGAAAGTCATACTTCATTCTTGAATAGTAAGACTAAATTTTGTAATAAGTTTCCAGATTATAAATTAAATGAAATCTAATTTAAATACCAACAGGCTAAGTTTGGGGAACTTGACCAAGACAAGCATGGTAGGCATAAACAATTTGAGAATGATTACTGAAAGATGAACCAGCTCAGGGGTAATCTGATACAAAATGGATTTCCTATAATTTCAAAAGTACTAGAATAGAAATTGACTAATCAATGTAAGAGAACAGTCTCAAAAAAGACGTGAAAACATCTGATAAAGATTGGATCAGTAGGGAAAATACTGGCATTTCCTAATAAATATTGTTGGGATAATCAGAAGCTATTTGGAAAGCAAGCAAGCTGGAGCTCTCCCTCACTCTACCAAAATCAATATATATTTACTCTGCGTTACCGCGTATACATACTTCTTTCTGGTATAAAATACACACTGTTAACAGTAGTTACTTTTAAGGAGATTGATTAGGGTTAGGTTGAGCAAGGAGAAACTTGTTGTTGTTGTTGTTTTAGGCGAGGCAACACTTGGTTGACCTCACAGATTGCAAGGACCTTGTCAGCTTACAATTCCTTATTTTACATCTACAGCACCTGGTCTTCCTAGGTGGTCTCCCATCCAAGTACTAACCAAGCCCAACCCTGCTTAGCTTCCTGCTTAGCTTCTGAGATCAGACGGGATCGGGCTTGCTCAGGGTAGCATGGCCATAGACTGATTTTTTTTTTTTTTTTACCTTTCTATACTATGTGCATTTTTATTTGCATGTATTATTTAATCTCGTAAAAATATTTTTAAAAATTAATAAAAGGTATGTGCAAAACAACACAGAAAATTTCAATGTAATCGGATTTGCATTCTGATTTGAATTCTGACAATTTATAGTTTTGTTTTGTTTTGTTTTGTTTTGTTTTTAAATAGCCTATGTACGTTAAAACAAATCCTGTTTCTTTTATTGCAGGGTCTTCTCATAGGAGCATTAACTTGTTTCATCGTCTCCGAAGCCCATGAGTCATACATAGCAATAACACTTGCGGAAGCCTTCATTGTTCTTTTTTTTATTGTAACATACATGCTAACCCTTCACCGCTTGATGACTTATTTACATTGGCCTTTACTTGTAAGTGTTCATTTTCATAATTCAAATATAAGCTTTGCCCCAGCCCCAGAGTAGAGGGAGGCTCTCCTCATGTGAAACCACCAGAGCTAGCTCTCTAGGCAAGGACATAGCCGAGCTGTGAAAGTTCAGAGGAGAAACTAGCCTAATACTCAGATTCTTTGGGCCCCTCTGTCTGCAGGACAACCAGCACACTCATCTGCTTCCATCTCCTTATGGTCCTGAACACATAGTATTTTTCAGCTTGTCCTAAAGAAAATTTTAATTTGTATATTCAGCAGGTAAATACATTTCTTACCTATTGCTTGTAAAACAGCACATGCTTCTACTTTTCAAACAGCACCCTCTCTAACAGATTATACACATCCCCGCCCCCCCTCAAAAGCAAGGATAGACATGGCAAAGCTGTAAAAAATTGTCACTTGTCCTCAAAGATCGCAAGAGTCAACCTTTTCACGTGTGTCAAGGGTCCCGAAGGGGTGCCAGATGGTGAAGTATTCAGGAAAAGACATTGCAGAGCCTTCTTCAATAGCTTTTTTCCCCAGAATTTCACATTCTTTATCAACTGAAAAATTCCTCAAGCTAGTCCCACAGGTGTCAGATAAGTCCTATTTACTGTGGAGCCTGAGGCTCTGCATCCTCACAAATGAGAGAGGGACTACAGTTTTGTCCAGATACAGATATGGGCCCAGTTCCTGGCCCTGCACCTTACTAGCTGTGTGAATTTTAGCCTATTTCCCCATCTAGGAAATTCAAGGAAGGAAAAATGTGATAATAACTTCCCCATAGGGTTCCTGTAACATGTAAAAATCTTTAAAGAAAATAATACAATAGTACAAAGTAAACATTCGCTATGAAGTGTCCAGCACACCCCATTAAGATCGTTGGTGGCTTTGACCATTTTTACCTTGCACTGTGAACAATCCTGTGAGCCCAGGCCTCTTCCACACCTCCTACTTCCTTATAGTACATTTTTTCTATCCTAAAGGTAGGATTGCTTGCTATTAAACTAAAACTCGAAATATTTTCTTCAAGTGTCTGAGAGATTTTCTAAAAAGGCTGCTGAGCTCTCTCTGTCCCACAGAGTGCCGAGCAACAGGAAGCAGACAAAGCAAAATCTGAGCAACTTTAATTGGACATATGGAAGACCCTCTTAGTTATGGAGAGCTATAACCATGGAGAGGTTTCTGAGGGGAAACTAAAATCTCTGTCCATGGAAATTTTCAAGAAGGGAAGGTAAAGTAACTCTTTTTGAGCCCATACTATGTGCCAGATACTTTTTTCATATGTATTACCTTATTTAATCCTCACAACAACCGGTGAGGCTGTAGTCATCCCCCATCCCACATTTGACAGGTGAAGAAATTGGATTTAAAGAGATTAAGTTGCCTATGGTCATAGTAGGCACATGGAAACTCAGACTTAGCCCAGGTCCGTCTGACTCTAAAGCCCAGACTTTATGCCCCATTGCTTTGTGATAGTTTCTCTAGCTTCACCAGCCCCCTACATCTTTGCTCTTCTTAGCTTCTATAAATTTTATGTTCTCTGTATCTTCTCCTATTTCCTCATGGTTTCCTTAAAAATTGGAGCCAAGGGTAAATTGATTATTTTGGGGGAGGGGGGTTATAGGCCCTCGGGGGTAGGTGACCCACAGCACCAAAGTCAGCAGTTGTGGGCAGGGAGACCAGAGCCCTCTGAAGAAAGGTCCACTGCCATAAAGATGGAGAGCCGGAGAGAGCTTCGAGGCACCCGCTTTGCTGTCAGGTCCAGGGGCAGTGTCCAGGAAGTATCTGAGACAGCGGCAAGAGCTGGGGTCTCCTAAGCATGTACCATGAGGGTCCTGTGAGAGGAGCTGTCCTCGCAGTGCTCACAGGCAGCTCAGGCCAGCTTGTGTAAAGTTGGAGGTTTTGGTCAATTCGAATAAAGCCAGGCCCCCTTTTACCACCTCTGTCCTTTGGTGAGAGCATTCTCTTTTCTCTGGGTGACCTTGGAATCCCAGAGTGTGCTTCAGAACGCCTGCCTTTTCCTTGCTACTGTCCTCCATGGTGTGGGCCAGGGCCTGGGACAGCACACAGATATACCTGATGAACTCCCAGGAGCTTCACAGTTGGGAAACTTTCATATCACAAAGATTACCCAGTTATTCTAATGCTCAACTAACTAGCAGTACACATACTAAGCAACCACATACTAACCAGCATAGTTGGTCAGGTGGTGAGTGATCTAATGGACTTGGAAAGTTTTTAAAAAGACCCATCAAAACAGGATGCAAAACTGAGTTCTCTCCTCCTATCCAGTCCCTTCCTTTCTAATCTGCCCTTTCAGATCCCATAAGATGAAGGTTGTATACATATAAGATTGCTCAGAAGGGTAAATTGCTACCACTGGATGGTAACAGGGAAGCCCTGGCATGGTAAGCAATGGGCTGGTTTGATGACAGTATTGGTGCCTACGAGGTAACTGAGACTTCAGAGAGTAGGTACACTTGGAGATGTGTTGACATCAAGCTGCAGGAGTCACTTGGGACCTTACCAAAAGGTTGGTGCGGCAAGCCAGAGAACATGACCTATTTCATACTGTAACTGTTTTCGGGCTCTGCACAGGATCAAAGTCCTGCCCACACACTAGAGGTGTCCACCATCCAGAGCTGTCACTTCCTTTTAGCCCTTCTCTCCAGGCAAGATGGTTTGGCGCTCAGGAGGTATAGGATTCAAGGAGTACTGATTTTAAGAAGGCAATTTCCTTAAAGGCTCACATGAAGATAACTTTCTTTATTCCTCTATTCTCATTCTTGAGAAAGGGTTCAGTGCGAAAGTCACTAGCCAGGAGGTAGAAAGTCTGATAAATCAGGGCTTCAGACCCTCAGCAAGGCAGCATCGAGGAGTACTGGCCTCACAGAAGGTGACCTCTTGAGAGGTCTTTAGACTCTGGGACAATATTTTGGCAGTCTCCTTCTCTGGAGAGATGATAGAGCCTGGGCTTGGGGACCCACTCCCCAGTCTCAATTGCAGCTTCTCGCTTCTGTCAAGGCTATGCCAAGGACCCTGACACCATGCGGAGGGTGCAGATCCAACTCTCAGCCAGCCCCTGACTTGTCAGCATGGCTCTGCATCAGAGCTAGTGAGAATACAGCTGTCCTCACCCCACCAGGGTAGAGTCACTTTCTTCATTTTTAGACTTCATCATCAATTTTACCCACCCTAGTCTAGCGTCATATATCGATGTATCCAAGAAAAGTATAAATTATAATTTATTGTCTTCTGAATAGCCCACATTTTCAACACTTCTACATTGTAAAAAATATTTTCAGTATGGTCAGAGAAACTGAGTCCTGGTCAAGCAGATGCTTTTGCCAATAGAAAGCAATTTTTTTGAAAAGGACATAATATATATTTTAAACTAAAACTCTATAGATGTGATGATTCAAAAACTATTAGCAATATATTTACATGTATAAGTAAGAAGTATCAGCTTTAGAATGTCTTCTGCAAATAAGATTCATGAAAAGCAACAGTTTTGGTGATTTCTGATCAGGCTCTGCCATGTGTTTGTAGAACCCAAGGCACAAATGGAACCAATGAAAGTTGCAGTTAGCTGACTACCATCTAATATTTATTATACATAAATTCTTCTTACAAAGACTGTATTCTGTGAAGCCAATTTAAATGTTTAACTTCTTTTCTAATATTTGGTGTTTTTTTTTTTTAAAGCATTCATCATTAAAGCATCTTCTTCTTTCCCAGTTATAATTCTACACCATTTTGTTTATCTCAGAGAACAGTTTGAAAGCTTTATGGAAAAATAACAGTCAAATAACAAACCCATCTCTCATTTTAGTCAGAGGAGGTTACTTGAGTCAATAGGGGAGTTAGTCAAGGGCAGGGAAAAAGATGATGAGTGAGGAAAGCATTTATGGGGAAACCAGAAGTCCCACTGCATGTGACAAGGCTCAGCTGCAATGTGACTCCATCAAGGAGAACACATATCTCTCTGTCAAAGATGAGGCCTACAAGAGAGTCTGTGTTTAAGGCAAAAGGAAGTGGGGTCAGTCAAGAGAAGGCCCTTGGGCACTCAAGTCAGACTGCTAAAGATCACGGCCACTTACTGGCTGAGCAACCCTGGGTAAGTTGCTTCCCCATCTGTAAATTGGGGATAATGAGAGTTTGTTGTGAGAATCAAATGAGATCACGTATTAACACCTTGGCACTGTATGTGACACACAGTAAGTGCTCAAGAAATGTGAGCTACAATAGAAATGTTAGGTTGAAGGTAAATATTAGCTCTGAAGGACAGTTCAGGAGAGCACTTTCTTTTGAGTATGGACCAAACTATAACATCCAGTAGTTCAAAGAGGAGATGGAATTACGACAGGGAGTCAATGATTGGCTAGGGAGGCTAAGTCTGCATCTGGTTTATTACTATTATCATTATTAATGTACTTTCATCCAAATTCTCTATGACCACAGCTGGTTAATTTTCATCTACACTTTGCTTCTTAGTTCTAAGAGTCCTGGTTCACATCTTTGAATATCTTGATTTACACAATCCTCAGGTGCTAAGCTTCCTACAAAGTTGTAGACTGAAGTACCTGCCCCGTGTGGCCAGAACTCTCACTCAGCCTACAGAACCTAGCTGGAACTTATTTCCAACCCTTATCAACCCTGCTCTATGACCCTCTTCCAATGTTACCCACCAGGTGCCCAGATAATAGATATTAGTGCTTTTCCAAGATGTAAGTCACATTCTATGATAGGGCTCCTTGCTCACCAATCTCAATAGGAAGAATACCTGCAAGTTTACTATCTGTGCACATTTTGAGTACAGATATCATGAATCTACATTTTGATACGCTCTCACTACCAACTAGATGCCAGGCACCTTACCTGATGCTTTCAGACTCATTATGCCATGTAATCGTCAGATCAACCCAATCATTCTCTCCATATTAAAAATTAGCATGTTAGGACAGAGGGTGATAAAACATGCCCAAGGTCACACATCTAGGATTGGCAGGCCAAATGAGTTCATCAACAAAAAACACTCTCACCTTATTTGTCCCATACCGTATTGACCCTCCACAGAAAATGCCAAAGATGGGTGCTGCACCATCTTAGGGGGACAGTTTATTTCCTCCTTATTGGTTGTCCGCCATGGGAGGCAATAGGGAGTTGAGTTCTGACTCAGCTCCTTGGCAGATAATTAATGTTAGGCAATTTAATCAACCTTTCTAAGCCTCTTATAATGGAGATCATAACAATATTGACTTTGCAGGGTGTTTATGAGGGTTAAATGAGATAATGACTGGGAAACGCTTGACACTAAAGAGTTCCATTAGAGCTGAAGCAATTTCATACACCCAATGGCAGAGCTCCCTGCTATGTTTGGGCAAGTGCACTAGACAGGCTGACACCACCAACTCAAGCCACCAAGACTTTAAGACCGAAAATGTTCACATTAGCTATTTGGACCATATTGTAATTATATCACACTGGGCTTTTGCTTCTCCCCGCAGACTGGTGCCGCTGACACATTGAGTACCCTCTCTTTCGTTATTGCTACACTACCAAACCCCAGCCTCTGCTTATTATACTCAGGAGTGCGCCCCTCCCACCCACTCACTTACCCTCACCTTTTATTTGGCACACAAAGCAGCAGATTGGGCTATCAGTTAAAGAGCCTAGTAATGAAATCCACAAGGAAGGACACAAATAGCCTATAGATGTCAGGGCAGACTCAATTCTGGCCATGTCTTAGGAAAAAACAAGCCAACAGCACAGGCATTCACTCCAGAATACCAGGCCTATTCCTAAGGTGGCTTCCTACCTTCTTGGGATGGGCAAACCTACAGAATAAATATGACCCCACTTCCAAAGGATCTATTCTACCTGAAGATTTAGGAGTGGAATTAAATCAGTAAGGTGCTAACCTAAAATTTTATTTTCATATTAAAGCGTATTGTGGAGTAAAATGAAGCATTTATATTAATTTAAAATTCAAGAACTCAAAAAATCCAATTACCGAAGACCAATTTGACTGCTCCAACCTAGATTTTTTCATGTTCACTTTCCTATGCCTTTTAAGAAAAGTCTAATGGAAAAGTTGTCAGCTTTTTTTTTTTTAATGGTGTTCTTTAATGAAATTAAACCCATTTCTGCTGACAAAGTCCTATCCAGAACCTTAAAAATCACAGAAACTCACGTCTCTGGAAGATATAAGAATTAGGCTGCTGGTAAAGTTTCAAAAAGGCATCCATCCTTAGATGAGTAATTGAACAATTTAAATATTTTATGAAGCTACGTTTTCATGTAAAGTTGACAATTTTCAATTCTGCATTACAGGATCTTATCAACAGTTTCATTACAGCTGTGTTCCTTTTAGTAGTTGCTATCATGACAATGCAGGAAAAGGACAGAAGACATTTATTCTATGTTGGAGGGGTAAGTAGAGGCCATCGTGACTCCACTTAAGATCAGTATTTCAAGACTCTGAAAAGGGAACTGGCAGACCATCATTATTCCATACACACTATTTTTTGAACTATTGCAACAAGATGCTCTTGTCTGTAAATAGGATTTTGACCTTTCTGGACTAGAGAATGATATTTTTAAAGCACATGAAAAGAATGATTATAGCGGGGAGAAAAAAAAATCACATTGTCAAACGTGACTGACCCAGCCTATTCAGGAAGGAAGGAAGGTCCCAGCATGTGCTTCACACAAGGCTAGGCAGGTTCTCACTTAATCTTTACAACTTTCATTGTTATAGATATGGGAACTGAGGTTAAATACCTTGGCCTGAGTCATAAGACTAGGACTCAAATCCTCATCATATGAAGAGCACAAGATATTGCAGATTAAATGCTTGGGAAATAGTGAGTAGGAAGTGGGGAGGTGAGACTAGTTCAAGAAGTCAAGCAAAGGGAACAGAAGTTAATCCAGAAAAAAAATTTTAATTATTTGAATTCGTTCCATAATCAGTAAATATTCTGTCAATCTCATTGGAATGTGTCAGGCCTAAACTCAGTGTTGGGAATAGAGTCCCTTCCACCTGGGGGAGCTCACAGATTAGCTGGAGCAAGACCTACCTAGGAAAAGTTCATTTAAGCAACCAGGATTTCAGTGACCATAAAGAGAAACTTCCGAGGCAGACAGGAGCTGGGGAACACCAGGAATCTCAGGTGCTGTGGGCCAGCTGGTTCCTGTCTGCTACCTCAGCCACCAGGCCTTCCCCTACCTGCCAGGGCCTCCTACCCCCTGGTCTCCATCAATTCTTACCTGGATGGCAGGATCCCCTACCATCCCCCCACGCCCCCACTGGGCTCCCTGCCTCCAGCCTGGTTCACTCTCCATTCACCTCGTGGCTACTGCAAGTGGGCTTTATGAGTCTGGCACTTGACCTCTTCTCTTGATAAAGTCCCAAATCCTGCATCTCCCCAACCTCAAGTGGGCCCCCTCCCTCACCAGTTCCAAAGGTCTCAGCCACACCAGTTTCCTTAGAGACCTCAGTCTAGTACCTGAAATCTAGTCCCCTTGGGAATTCCTTCTTGCCCTTTCAAACTTGGCCTGAGTCCATTCCAGTGAGGGACTATCTCAGGACCCCAACCCCGCCTGGATCCTCCGAGGGTCAGTGCCCTTCTCTAGTCCTTTCCTGGTGCCTCCGGCATCAGGCAAGGTAATTACTGGCAGCAAAACCCACCATTTCCAAAATCTCTTTCTCTGGGAACGGCAGAAAGGGCCACAACAGATAGTGGAGGGTCAAAGCGGGACGAGAGGCCGCCCACATCCCGGGATGCGGATAGGGAAGGCAGGTTGCTGCTGAGCTGCAAAATAACCGGGCCTTTCCTTCCCACATATGGTCTAACAGACCCTGTGTCTCACGGCGGCAATCCTGTGTCTCGTCGATGCAACTCTGGTCACCAAGACGATGAGGAATAACATGAAAAGAGCCCTGGGAATGGAAAAGGAACCCGATTACTCCCTCGCCTCGGCGGAACCCCCGAAACCCGCCCAGTAATAATCTGTGAAGGCACAGGCAAAGGCACCCACCTCTGCACCCTCGCAGGCACCCTCTCGGACGTCCACAGTGGCATCCTCGCAAACATCCTTGCGGGCAAAAGCAGCTGTGTCTCATACCTCCCGCTCCTCCCACCACTGAGCTCACATGCTGTCACCCATTTCCGCCCACGTGTGATCATAAAATCAGGGCTGCTAAGTTGGGAACACTTCTGCTTCCACGTGTTGCCTTGTGTAAAAGCGAGTTACATTTTCCTGCACAAGCCAGTGCACCCGTGGGGCGCTGGGCATGGCTGTCCCAGGAGGCCGCAGTGAGGACCTTGACCCCGCCCTGGTTCCAGCAGACCAGGCCCGAAGGCGGGAACCAGGACTAGAGACCTAGGGCCACCCTGTGAGGCCACACTAGACCATGAGGGGAGCTCCATGCAGAGGTGGGGCCAGGTGGTAGGCCTGGAGGTGGGGCAGGGCTCCTGCGTTGAGGGGTGGGGCTGACATAGGGGCTGCAGGGTCTTCACTGGGAGCGGGGTCGGCCCTGTGTGGAGGTGACATGCGCGGTAACAAAGGGCGCGTGGAGAGGGCACCAGGCGTTGGCTTTGCTGGTCTTGGCCGTTGGGTGAGTGCGGCCTCTGAGCAAGTCAGTTAGCACCAGGCTGGCTCAGAGGCCAGGCCTGTCCGAGGACAGCAAAAGAGATTGGGCAGGCCGCGAGAAGCTGAGAATATCCACATAAAGATGGCAGACAAAGGCAAAAAGGACAAAGGAGGGGCGGCTGCACCGGCAGCGCCCCCTCCAGCCGCCAAACCCACAGAGGACGATGATGAGGAAGAGAAAGAGAAGAAGCCATCAAAGTCCGAGCAGCCCAAGGATGAAGTGGGCACGAGGAAGGGGTGTCGCCGCTACCTGTGGGAATTCAAGGACAGCAATAGACAGTTCTGGGTTATGGGGCACGCCGTGGTCAAGCTCTTCAGCGTGGTAAGTTGGCCCGGTATCCCTGCGCAGGGCCCGAAGGACAAGGAGAGGGAGGAGTGACCTCAGAGGGGCTCCGGAGTCAGTGAGAGCCCTTTGCCATGGCTCAGGTGCATGTCTCCCTGCAGGGCTGCCTCATAGCTGCGATGATCATGTTCACGGGGACCGCCATACACCCCCTCCTGACACTCATCGTCACCATGGAGATATCCATCTTCTCCTTCTTCTTCACTGTCTACACCCTCGCCATTCAGAGATACATGCCTTTCATCCTGTGGCCCGTATCTGTAAGTGAGGGGCAGTGAGGAGTGCGGGAGGCCTGTGTGTGTTCAAGTCTGTAAACAGAGAGACACAACTCACCACTCATATTTGCACTATTGCATGGGCTCAGCACTTTCTGTGGGACTGGAGCAGGTAGAAAAGGCTCCAGAAAAGCCCAGCTGGGGGGCAGGGGCCTCTTACCCACCAGGTGGTCAAACTAAGTGGTCATTGCTTTCCTGAGGGTTTACTCTCCTTGTGGGGAAGGGAGATGTAGCAACGAGCTGTTTCTCCCAACCCCTGTGCCAGCTCATACCTGACTGGGGTGATCACCCCAGAAGGTACTCCACCCCCAGAATTTGAAGAATAAAAACAATCTTCCCATAAATCAGTAAGATAAAATGAGAATTATAAAAAAAAAAAAAAATCACTTCTAAAGCAGCCTTAGATCTCCAGTGACTATCCTAGTCAAGGATGTTCCTCCCAGAAAGATGTTCAGCCCAAAGCAGTTGTCAGTTGCGATGGGGCTGGGCAAGTTATCCAATCACTCCTATCCTCTGTTTCTTTCTCCCTAACGGGAGGACAGCAATATTCTCTCTTGGGATTGTTCCTGAGGAGTGAATATGTAAAGTGCTTGATGATGTCCTGAGGATACATGGACTTGAACCCCTGACCACTGCCTGTGTAATCACATAGCACACCAACCTAACTCCCATGCAACCCAAGGCCCCTTGTTCACTGCACATTCACAGCATGCCTCCAGTCTTATGCTCACTGGTTCACTCACTTTACACAAGAAATAGGCTCTAAATGGCCAAGTAACTTGCCCCCAGGTAACTCAGCTAATAAGTGTCAGAAAAAGGATTCAAACCCAGCTTTGTCAGTAGAGTCTGAGTCCTAAACTGAATTCTGTCTTGCCTCCTTGTTAAAAGCTATTAGCGTTCAGGGATCCACAGGTCTTGGTGGGGTATGTGAGGATCCCCTGTATAGGGAGAAAGAAGAGGGCCAAATAAGACTCTTGGGAAAGGGATAAGCAGAAAAAAAAGTAAAGAGACAGGCAGAGGACAAGTTCCCAGCCAAGGAGCTTGAGAGAAAATACTTTTAGTTCCAGCAAAATGAAAAATCAATGAATCCCGAAAATCCTCCTGCTGCACATACCTAAACTACCAGAGGAATTGTAAATACTATTGCTTTAACTAAATGGTTGAGCTGGCACAAAAGAGGGAAAAACACACATGTGCCAGAAATGGAAAACAGGAGCCGTGATCAAATAAACCTCTGAAGTGTGGGTAGGAATGGCCCATGAGGTGATGAGGCCTTGGTCCCAAGCAAAGTGGGGATTTAGAACTGAGAACCCTGCATAAAGCCAGCACCCTGCATAGTCTACATCCTTAGGAAAAAGAACAGAGGAGATACCTTTTCCCCACACAGAGGAACAAGAAAGCATGTTCACCTCCACCTGAGCTCTGAGTGGAAAAAGCAAAGACTGCCTTGAGAAAGAGGAAACTTGAGCTTGGACTTTAATACAGATTTGGTTTGAATTTTTACTATCTTCAGCCTAGAAATCTTCATGCAGCCTAGAAAATGTAATGCCTTGAAATTAGCATAAAAAATGGATTCCAATTTGATGATATTCTGATGATATCCATGAGATTCCTGACAGAAACAAATGCAAAATCACAATCAAAGCATAAAATATTCTCACAGGGAGGATATGGTGCAGGGAGCCTTATCAAAATGAACTCACAGTTCAAAACTACAAAACACCTGCTTTTAAAATCCTTGTGACTAAGAGTCAGCAAACATAACAAATGGGAGGATTAGAACCCTGAAAATATAAGATAATGGAAGAGCTGTCTGAAAATAGTAAGGAATATACTTAAAATTATTAAAGACAAAAATAAGAGCCCTGAGAAAAGAATAACGCTTGATGAGGACAGAATAGATAGATCTTTCTTAAAGTACAAAATGTCTAAAATTAAACATATAGTTATTGAAATAAAAGTGTCAATAAATGGGTTAAAAAGCATGTCAGACAAAGGTGGGAAAATTACCCAGAACGCAGCATTGAGAAATAAAGAGAGAAAATATGAAAGAAGTTGAGACAGAGACTATGGTATGAGAAAGTCCATCATAAACCGAATAGGAGTTCCAGAAGAAGAGACTCAAGAGAATGGAGGAGAGAAAATATCTGAAGTGTTAATGACTGAGAATCCTCCAGATTTAATGAGTGACATCACTAAAAGTGGCAGAGTAAGGAACTCCAAAACTCTGTCCCTCCATTAAAAGCAATGATTAGGTGTCAAAACTATCAGAATCAACTTTTTCAGAACTCTGGAATCTAATAAAAAAGAAACTTACAGTAACCAGGGGAATGCTTAATGAAGAAATAAGCTGTTGAACTTTGGTAAGAGAACATTGTGGCACATTAACTTATGTGGCTGTCAACTCTCACTCCCCAGCTTCTCAGTGGCCATGAAGATGACAGCCCCCATTCTTTGCTGGTAGCAGAGGGAACAATACAGACCTTGTTCTCAAAGAATTGTGTGTATTGGCCGATCTGGTGGCCCCCTGAGGAGCTGGCCCATGGACTTGCCTTTGTTTCACCTGCTTCAGAGCTTTCTCAGGACTAAAGCAGCCTCATGGACAACGTTTGTCAAAAGCATTTAAAGGTAAATATACTAACCACAGCCTCCTGGGCCAAGAGAAAACGGATGAGGCAAGCAGTAGAAAGACCAGAAATTTAGGACGGAAGAGGTTGGGGAAGGAAATACATGGGAGAATAAGAGTTCTGAAAAGGTTCCAGATATACCAGGGACTCTAGAGGGTCAAACACATGCCCAGGGCTGGACGAATGCTCAGAAAAGACCCTAAGGTTTCACGTCTGGCTGACCTTTAGGCTCCGCACAAGTAGCAAGTGAAAACTAAGAGTTGCAAACAGCCTGGACATGTGCTGAAGAAGTGCCCCAACGCAGAGCCAATCTGCAAAGACCGGTGAAGTATTTCTGTTTGTTTGTTTGTTTGTTTCCATATATTTCAGGAAATCTCTGTCAAATCACTACCTGACCATTAAGCTAATGAAACAGAGACTTCAATGACCACAGGAGAGGAAGAATATAGTCTTTCAAAAAATAGTTTAGAAAGTCACTGAACAGTCTACGGCCATGCTACCCTGAACAAGTCCGATTCCGTCTGATCTCGGAAGCTAAGCAGGATTGGGCCTGGTTAGTACTTGGATGGGAGACCACCTAGAAAGAGCAGGTGCTATAGGCATAACAAAATTTTAAAAAAAGGGATTGTAAGCTGACAAGTTCCTTGCAATCTCTGAAGTCAACCAAGGGTTGCCTTGCCTGAAAAATAAAAAAATTAAAAAATTTTAAAAAGTTTAAAAAAAGAAAGTCACTAAACATACAAATGACTACAACTCACAACAAGCAGCAACAACAGACCTGGGGAGGAGGGAGAATCTGATTTTCAGAGTAACTACATTACTCAACATGCGGAGCCCCGAAAGGAGAAGAGAGAGAAAGGAGCAGAAAGAATATTTGAAGAAATAATAGCCAAATATTTTCCAAATTTGATAAAAGATACACATCCAAAAAGTACCAAAGCAATCCACAGAGACACATTATAATCAAACTGTCTAAAGACAAAGGGAAAGTCTCAAGAAAGAAATAACTCTTCTTGTACAAGGGACCCTTAATAAGATTAACAGTCAATTTCTCATCAGAAACCACGGAAGCCTGAGGCAGTGCAATGATGTAAAGTCCTGAAAAAAAAAACAAAAAAACTTTCGACCAAGAATTCTATCCTTCAAATGTGCTGTTATGAATTGAATTGTGTTCCCCTAAGCTGTGTTGAGATCCTAGCTCTCAGTACCTGTGAATGTGATCTTATTTGGAAATAAGGTCGTTACAGATGATCAAGTTAAGATGAGGTGATTAGAGTGGGCCCTAATCTAATATGACTATGTCTGGACACAGACAGACATTTACAAGAAGATGATGTAAAGAGATACAGGGAGAAGATAGGAAGGTGAGACAAGCCAAGGAATGCCCGAAGCTAGAAGAGAGGCCTGGAACATCTTTCACTACCAACTTCAGAGGGAGAATGGCCCTGCCAGCACCTTGATTTTGGACCTCTGGCCTCCAGAACTGTAAATTTATGTTGTTCTAAGCCACCCAGTTAGTGGTACTTTGTTATAGGAACTGCAGGAAATGGATATAATACCTTTCAAAATTGAAATTATCCTTCAAAAATTAAAGAGAAATTAAGACATTCTTGGATAAACAAAAGTTGAGAGAGTTTGTAGCTAGTAGACATGCTCTATGAGAAATGCTAAAGGGAGACCTTCTCGCCAAAATGAGAGGCCTCTAGACAGCAACCTGAAGTCAAAAAAATAAAGACCACCAGTAAAGGTAACAACATAGGTAAATGTAAAAACCGCTATTACTGCATTTTTGGTTTGTAACTCCTGTTTTCTGGCATGATTTAAAAGACAAAGGAATAAAACAATAATTACAAATCTATGTTAATGGGTCATAATGTATAAAAATATAATTTGTGACAATAACAGGAAGAGATATTGTATACTATTGGAGCTAACTTGGTATCAATTCAAACTAGACTGTTACACATTAGTAATTGCAACCCCAAGGTAACCATAAGAAATTAACATATATGTGGAAAACAGAACACAGTAAAATTGGTACAATACAAAAATTTAAACACAAAAGAAGGCAATAATGGAGGAACTGAGGAATGAAAAGATATGACACATAGAAAATAGCAAAATTACGGTAATAAGTCCTTAGCAGTAATTATTTTTAATCTGCACAGATTAAACTCTCCAATCAAAAGGCAAAGATTGTTACAATAGATTTTTTTTAAAAAAACTATGATCTTACTATATGAGGATCACAAGAGACTCACTTTAGATTCAAAGCTACAAATAGGTTGAAAGTGAAAATGTAGAAAGATACTCCACGCAAAAAGTTACCAAAAAAGAGCTGAGGAGGCAATATCAATACCAGATTTAATGAAAGATATGAATTCTCAGAGGTACCAAGAAGAATATATAAAAACAAAAGTACAACTAGATATGTCATCGAGGCACTGCTGATCACCAAAGGAAAACTTAAAATCAAACCAAGAGATAAGACGATTGAAAAAATATATTAGACTGAAAATCATAGTTTTCAACAGCAATGACAGTGGCCAAAAAGTAAAAGAACAACCTCTTTAAAAGGCTGAAGTGGAAAGAATAAAATAAAGACACTTTTAGAAATTAATCAGTAAACTTTAAGTAAATCTCCGTGTGGAGGGCAGGGGGTAAATTTAATGTTTTCCTAAACATATGGGGATTTAGTCATATGCAATATTTGCAAATACTACCTGTAGAATGCAGCTAAAAAATTCAGATTCAAATCTAGGTAATTAGAAAAGACTGAAAATTAACAGTTTGAGTGTCTTATCTCAAAACAAAACAATGGGATTAAGAAGGCAATGCCAAAGACGAGAGCTAAATAAAATAGGAAACAAAGATCCAAAGTAAGGACTAATAAAACCTAATAAAACCAAATATCTAATTTTTTGAAAAGACTAATAGACAGACTTCAAGTTTTTTTCAAGTTCTTTTTGTTTTAAAGAAAGAAGAAACAGAATATTAGTATAAAGATCAATAACTTTTAAAAATCACAGGGAAAATATAAATTTGTATACTAATAAATTGGGACGTTTAGATAATAACCTCGAAAAAAATAACTTACAAAAATTAATTCAAAAAGAAATAGAAAAACAGGTTATCGAATAACTCATCTACGTTTTCATCTGGCATTTGTTTAATTTTTATTCATTTGGCGTCATTTGGGTATACAGTGTGAACCATGGCTCCAGCTTTATTCTGATGGCCATCTCGTTATTTCGCCTTATCACTTGATTTATTCATTTATTGAATAGTGTATCTTTTCCCCACTGATTTTAAATGGCATTTTTGTTAAATGCTAAATCTCATATGCAAGGTTCATTTCTGGACTTTATATTCAATTTCATTGGTCTGTCCCTTTTTCCCCCTTTTTTTTTTTAAGGCTTTATAATATGTTGTACTATCTGGTGGGGCTTTGATCTTAAAACCGGACATTATAAGGAAAATAAACTATAGGCCTATTTCATTTGAATGTAGCCATAAAAATCCTCAATAAAATATTAGCAAACTGAATCCAGCACTATATAAGCAAGCAATAATACATCATGATCAAGCGGGGTATGTGCCAAGAATGTAAAGATGGTTTAGTTTTCAAAATTCAATTAATATACTTCACCATCTTCTATTTAAAGGAGAAAAGCATTTCATAAGCTGCTGAAAAACTATTTAGTATTCAATACTTTTTAGAAAACTCTTAGCAAACTAGGAAAAAGAGATCTTCCTTATCTTAATGATAGATATCTACCCAAATGTACAATAAATATTTCATTTCATGCTAAAACTTTAAAATCATTTCCTTACAGATGCTTACTATCCCCATACAATGTGACAAGAAAAATAAAAGGTATACATAGATTGGGAAGAGAAGAAAATTTAGCATTACTCACAGATAATATGATTCTCTACACAGAAAAGTCAAGAGAATCTACAGTAAAATTATTGGAACTGATTAGAGTTCCAAAAGGCTACTAGAGACCAAAACAATAGTTTTCCTGAATATCAGCAACAAATAAGAAAATGTGGCTTTTCAAAAACAAACATTTAAAACAATATCAAACTACAAGGTATCTGAGACAAAACCTGCTCAAAGATATGTATGACTTTATATAGAAGTTACATCATTTTATTAATGGATATAAAAGAAAAACCTAAACAAATGGAGAAATATACCACATTCACAGACGTAAAGAGTTACTGTCATAAAGATGGCACTTTAATTCCAAAGTAATCTATAAATTAAATGAAATTTCAACCGAACAGGTTGTTCATAGAACTTTTACTAAAATTCTTATGGAAGAATAAAAAGAATTACAAGAATGGATTCGCCTAACGATATATCAGAATTACTGCAAAGCTTTGGTACTAGCTCAGGGTTTGACGAAAAGACTAATGGAATTGTTATAGATTGAAAATGTACCCCCAAAATTTGTATGCTGAAAATCCTAACCCCCAGTATGGCTGTATTTGCAGATGTAGAGTAGTGATTAAGAGAAAATGAGGTCATAAGGGTGGGGTCCTGATCCAACAGGATTAGTGTCCCTATAAGAAAAGACAACAGAGAGCTCTCTCTCCCTCTCTTCCTCTCTCTCCTTCCTCCCCTCATCTTGTACAGCATGGAAAGGCCATGTGAGGACATAGAGAGAAGGCAGCCATCCGCAAACCAGGAAGAGAGCCCTTATCAGAAATTGAAGTCGATGGCACCTTGTTCATGGACTTCTAGCCTCCAGAACCGTGAGAAAACAAATGTCTGTTGTTTAAGCCACCCAATCTGTGGTATTTTGTTATGGCAGTCTGGGCAGACTAAGGAATAAAAAAAAGAACTCAGAAAAACATGCCTAAAACATGTTTTAAAAAATGCTTCATTAGTAAATTTTCAATGACCTGAAAATTTAAAACAACAATGAGGTACCATTTTGACTCTTCAGATTGGCAAAAATAAATAAGCCTGGTAATCCTGAGTGTTGGCAAGGACATGGGAATGGAAGCCCCTAAACACTGCTGGTGTGAGCAGAAAATGGCTCAGGCACTTTAGAGAGAAACTGGGCAATACCTAGCCAAGGAGAAGATGTACACAGGAAGCACAGACGAGAGTGTTCGCTGTAGCAGAGTCTGCAGTAATTTCCTAAAAAGTAGGCACAACCTAATGTCTCTAGTTTGGTTTATTCATACAGTGGAACACATCAGTTAAAATTAATGAATTCAATCTATGGCTTCTCAAAATGGATAAATCTCAAAAAACTTTATTGTTTAAAATGCAAGTGCTAGAAGATAGGATAGCTTTTCTTTAAAATGTTTGAAACACAAAATAATATGTATTGTTTACGACTATATAATAATATGGAGGAAAAGACTCACACACACTTGGGAAAACTGCCCATCAACTTCCTATGTTATGGTCGTCTCGGGGAGAGGGACAGGAAGAGGGGCGGAATGGTGAGACTGTACCCACTCCACGGTTTTACTTCTGGGTTTTCGTTGTTGTTGTTGTTGTTTTAAAAAGACCACAAGCAAATATTACAAGACATTAACATCTATTTAATCTCAGAGGTTCACGGCTGGTGGAGGTGGTCATGGGGATGGGATATTTTATTATTTCTGTATGTTTGAAATGTAATAAAATTCAAAACATTGAAAAGGCCTGAGACAAAGTGTTCAAGGAAGTACAATCTGCAGAAAATGGCAGGCTAGAAACCTAGGGGAAGGTGGGCATCAACCAGGGCTGCAAGGTTGGCTACTGCCCACAGGATTAAGGGGTGCACAAGCTGGGGAAGCAGCTTGCTGTGGCCATGGTTTGGCCAACTCTGTGAAATTTGGCTGTGCCAGGGAGTGGTGGTGGGTGGTACCTGAGGAGAGGGCAGCGCAGAAGGCAGCCCTTTTGCCCAGTCTAGGAATATGCGGACCTTGTCAGTAGGCTAATGGGAAACAAACATGGGGGAAGGGCGAGACTGAGCCACAGGGATGGGAAAGAGGTTAGATGATGGAGGAGATGGTGCTTCCTTGCAAAGAGGGGAGGAGCTTTAGGGGTTAAGGTAGGGGTTGGGGGACGGCAGGGGATGAAGGTGCAGCTTCCAGGCTCCCAGTGAGAGGGCCAGAGTCCAACAGAGCCTCCTGCCAGCAGTACAGCCTGCCTGGGACCCAGAGAGGAAGCTGGTCCTGAGAGGAGAAAGCTGATTGGGGTGGCACTCAGGAGGGGCGTCATTAAGTTGGATAGTTGTACATTTATTTCAATAAATATTGGAGGGGTAAAAAACCAACCAGCCATTAAATCACCTCTTTTGGAGAATCACAGACATGATGGTAGCGGAGAGAGCCAGAAAAGGCAGTTAAGTATCCTGGGCTTTGAGTCTCGACTCAAAAAGGCTCAGCTGAGGAGATAAAGGTATGTTCGCCTAACTCTGGTGTATATTTACCTTCAGGCAAAAGTTTGAAAGCCAGTCCCTCTGGAGGAAGCTATGCCAGGCCGGGTGTTGATTGTGGGGGGACGGGGCTCGGCGCCTTTTCAGGCTGATTTGTCTCTCCCATACTTTCAGGATCTTCTCAATGACCTGTTCGCCACTGTTTTCCTGGTGGGGGCTGTGGTCTTTGCCGTGAAAAGTCGACAGACCATGCCAATGAACTACTTTATTGCTGTGGTGAGCCTTTCACGTTGATTGGGCTGTTTATTTGCTCAGCAATCACCTCTTTCGGAGAATGGGTGTTTTCCCCAGGTTGGAAGGGCAGGACTTCTTTTCTTTTTCACAGAATCTTGGGATCCAAGCAACGTTTAAAAGTAAAGCTGATAAACGTTTCCAGGGGAGAAGCCATTTTAAAAAAGATGATGTCCAGAGAGCCAGCCAAGCTAATGGCTTCCTCCTCATAGCTACTGACCCTGAAGCAAAGCACCCACCCAGGCTAGGTTTAAAGAAAGAGGCAGTGGGATGACAGGATGGTGGGGATGGGGAAGTTCAGAGCCTCTCAAGTCTAGCAGTTTGAGGGGGAAAGGGGCTATGTTTAACAGCATCCATTGACAAATTAGAAACCAGGGAGGAAATGTGCCAACTTCGGCATGAAAAGTTAGAGTAAGGAGGCTCCTTCTGTTTTCCAGATCCTTATTGGTGTGGCTGGATTTTTTGCTTTCATCGATATATTCCTTCAAAGAAAACACTTCAAAGGCAAGAGGATCAAAAAGAATGTGCTGGTTCCTCCTGTGAGAAAGGAACAAGTAAAGGAAAAGGAGGTTGCAAAGCCAAAAGAAGAGGGAAAACCACCAGCAGGAGAAAAGACAAAGGGAGGAGAAAAGACAAAAGAAGCAGAAAAGCCTAAGGACGCAGAAAAGCCTAAGGGGAAGAAGGGAGGCAAGAAATGAGGTGACGGAGATGTCTGTTGTCAGAAATGGCAGTGTAGTTTACAACGAAACAGTTCCGCTGTCTTCTTTGTCAATGGTTTTCTTTTCCATTTTAATAACAACCTTTGCTTGAAAAAGAAATGCCTCTTTAAATAGATTTTAAAGCTTAACGTTGACAGTTTGGGGGTAGAGAGCAAAGTCAGAGCTGGGCCTCTCCAGGCACTCACAGGCTCCAGCGCGCAGGCGGTTTGAGGCACCAGAAGTCTGAGTGACACTGGCTGTCAACACTGACCAGGCAAAGGGGGCAGAGGAAAAGGAGAGTCCAGAAAACAAAAGGATTTTCCTCCTGTTGATATTTTTATTTTAATGTGTATTTTAAGCATCCAAGTAATTGCTACAAGAAAAATCAGGTTGCTGGTCTTCCTTACTCTCAGTTTGCCGCTTCGCATTGGCCCTCATTTGAGGCACCCTCGGGAGGAGGGCAACAGGGGTGGCATCACCTCCTCAGCTGGAGTCAGGCTGGTGAGTGGGCCGAGCAGGATAGGCACAGAAGGGACCGAGAGGATGGTTGCTGCAGAGATGGCCACCCAGCTCCACGGATCCTGCCGTATCTCCATCCAGTGAAGACCTGAGCATAAGCCTTGAGCCAGTCTCAGCTGAGCCCTAGAGCCCCAGTTCCCACATGCAGGCCTCAGTCAGGGTCTCACTTTCACTCTGGACAGTCCAGCCACCCTGCCAGGAGACGTCATCCCCGTGGATGGAAGGCGAGGTCCCAAACTGATGCCTGAGGAGCTGGAAGGGGTGTGTGGGGCAGGGGCGGGGGTGTAGTGAGCCCAGCCAGGGACAACCTGAGAGACAGGCTGGGAGGGTCAGCTGGGCCTTGGCAGTCATGGTATAAAGACTTGGGCCTCTGTCCTAAGTGCTAAGGGGGTCCCTGAAGGCGAGCAAGTGGCAGGGTCTGCTTCCACTGGGAGGAGAGCACATACTTGGCTGCTGCTGAGAAGGGAGGCAGTTGGAAGAAGGGTGGTTGCCGCAGTGTCCGCTGGAGCCCTGCCACCGGCCCCAGTGCCAGCCCCTCAACCCTTCAAGTCCACCTCTGTAGCCCCCACACCACCCCCTGCAGGCCAGGCAAGGTAAGGCAACCCTACTAAAAACGGAAACAGTTAGAGGGACTTATATTCTACAGAAAAAATTTTAAATGCATACTATCCTGACATATGACCCAGAAAGTCCCATCTAGGGATTTAACCAAGAGGAATGATGTACTAGTATGTTCATAATAGCCAAAAAACTAGGAAGGGCCCCCAAATTTTAAGGAGACAAACTGTGTTCCATTCGCACAATAAAATACTACTCAGCAATAAAAAGCTACTGATACAACATGATGAATAGTGATGAATGTAAAAGATTTATAATGATGAATTTCATATAGTATTGAGGGAAAGAAGCCAGACACAAAAGGACATACCACATGATTCCATTTCTAGAAAGTTCAAGAACAGGGGAAAATATAGTGAAAGAAATGGAAACAGCGGTTGCTTCAGGAGGTGGAGGATGGAGATTATGATTCAGGACGGGGCTCACGTCCTGCACTGAGAGAGAAGAGGGCTCTTGACGGAGCATTAGAAAGAATTCAAACACATGACAAAGTTAGAGTCAAAAGGAAAGTTTATTAGAGAAGTAACACTCCACAGAGTGTAGTCTCCTCTCAGAGGTAGAGATTGAGAGAGCCTAAGAGAGAGTTTGAGGGAACAGAGACGGGGACAATGAGAGAGTAAAGACACTGAGAGGGGCCATGAGTATTCAGGGAATTCAGTTTATATATTGTTCTTTAGTTCCTGTGAGTTACAGTTTAAAGACTTTGTTTACCCATTTTCCTTTGATATGGACATACAGTGAGGAACATAAGAGCATGTAGCCTGAAAAGGTAAGAATATGCAGTGTGGAGGGCCTGCTGGCAATTCCCAGCCTCTAATACATAGGTTCCCCATGGTTTGAGCCACAGGGAATGAATGATTTTATTTTGTGTAGGTCTCCACTTAAAGGCCTGTTTTTCCTGCTTTCCTTTCAGGGTATGGAGAAATGGGTTGTCAGCAATCCCAGCAAAAATCTATCTTGGTTCTGCAGGTTTCCTCTGGTCTAACTGCAGGGCTGATCAGCATATTGCAGTCTCTGAATGTAGCTTGATTTCACCTTTTAGTTCCCTTGCCTTCTCCCTACATTAATTACAAAAGAGCATGAGGGAATTTGGGGGTGAGGGAGCATGAGAGAGTTTTATGTCTTTATGGGGGGAACTAGCTACACATTTGTGTATACATTTCTCAGTGAACTGTATACGTAAGCTCTGTGTATTTCATTGCATGTAAATTTTATCTTAAAATGTAAGCTAAATATGACTGTGCTCAGAAACCAAGGGAAAAGGGTTGACTTTGCTGAACTCCTTTGTGTGGCCACTCCTCTCACCCCTGAGGGCGACTCTCTGAAGCAGTTTTTCCACACCCAGACCCAGAAGGCATGAGGTGGGTCTGGGCTGTTGCTGAGCAGGGCCTGAGGCAGCCACCTGTCATGCTGAGAAGGCCACCAGGGACAGGGACAAGGTCACCAGACTGCAGGAAGATGCCCCTTCAGAACAAAACTATGTCAGCTGCCAGTAGAAGGGAATGCCCCCCCACCCCCCACCCCCGCTTGGGCCTATCACCTATGGATCTGGTTGAAATGCAGAATCCGAAAAATCCTAACTTCTACATTCTTAACAGAGACTGTAAAATAAAGCAACAAGCTAACAATAGTTCTTGGAGGTGTGGGAGAACGACTATGTCAAGGATTTTTAAATTTAACAGAAAGGTTGAATAATAGAATGGACAAATGGTGACCTGGAAAATAAAGTCCAGGAAATCTCCCAGAAAGTAAAGCCTTAAGACAAGGAGACACTGAACAGAAGAAATTAAGAGAGACAGGGAAGGCAGACCCGGGAGGCCGAACAATCATCTCGAAGGGATCCCAGCAGGCAGGCGAGAACAGAAAAGAGGGAGGGAACAATCAGCTAAAAGAACCCT